AGCAGGGGGGTTGGAAAGCAGAGAAGGGTCCCTTCCCAGGACGCTGCTCCTTCCTGGAGGGTGGTCAGGGCCGAGGATGATCAGTCAACTCTGGATCCAAGTGAGCCACAAGATCTGATTGAAAACCCATCTAGAAGTGCCCACTCCCCACTGAAAAGCCCCTACCCCCCTCACTCACCCTCCACCCCACCCCAGTGCTGCCTGAAAGGCCATCCTCAGCACCGAGAGTGTTACTGTGCACACCGGCCTGAAGCAAGTCCTGGGAGCATCGCTGGCAGGGTAGCCGTGTGTGGGAACGATTGTTAGATCCCCTCCTGAGAAGAGTTGGATAAGGGCATGGGGAGAGAGTAAGACACCCTGGGGCGGAGGTGGAGAGGTGAGTAGTGTCAAGGGGAAATGGAGGAGGGGGAAAGGGGCTGGCCAGGAGGCCAGGGCAGGTTCCCCATTCTAGTCAGTGATACCAGACTGGCCTCATGGGAGCTAGAGACAAGTCAGACTGGCTTGCCCCTCATTGCCCCCAGGGACCACACCCCAACCTCCCTTCTTCCAAATACCTGCCCTCAGCTTTGTTTGCCTCTTGTAGCCCTTCTGGGAGGCAAACAGAAGCCTAACCCAACTTCCCTGTTTTGCAAGAGGGCAAGCTCGGGGACTTCCACCCGTGGCAGCCAAGGTGGACAGGAGAGAACTTCAAGACCAAGCTCCAGCCACCTGGAAAAGAAACATCTTTATTTCCTCTGTGGGAAGGGGGAGGCCAGAGCGGGGTGCATCTGGAAAGTGGAGGGAGGCGGGGGTCTAAAGAGAGCCCGTGAGAGCAGCCTCGGAGGCCAGGGGCCTGGGGTGTCGATGAAAGCAGAGGGTGCCCATCACTTGTTGTCCTCCAGGAAGAAGTCATTGTAGGCCATGCACAGCGTGGTCAGGAACACCGAGTACTCCTTGAAGTCGATCTCCTGGTCACTGTTCTTGTCCAGATTCTTCATGAGGTCATCGATGCTGCTCTCCTTCATCTTCTGCGGGGACCCAAGTGGTGGGACAGCTTAGCCACCCTGCCCCGCCCGGCCTGACCCCTGCGTGGCCCCACAGCCCCCAGAGACGTCTTTGGCAATATGGAGGGCTCAGTGACGGGACTCCCAAATCTCCGTAAATTACAATAGGAAGGCTCAGCTGGGCACTCTGGCCCTCAGCACTTTCCCCCATCCAGAGAGAGAGGAAAGAGTTTGTAGCAGCACCGAATCACACGTGGTTCTGAGGATTACGCAGGTCTCTGACTCACTCTGTCCCGCTGCTTTAAGGGATAATACCCAGACAAGCTCTCGCCATGAAAACAGTATATTGAAGTTAAGAGGCCACCCATCCCTCAGAACTTGCAGGAAGAGCCCCTAGGGAGGCAATGCCTCCGCCTGGCCCCCACCGGGAGAGAGGCCCGAGGGTGGAAGAGGAAGAAAATACAGACAGGCGCACCTGCCTTCGGCTCCGTGTTTTCCACAGGAGACAGATACCGGGACATGCGGAGATGGAAACTGCTCGCTGTGACGCGATTTGGGTCCCTGGCCTGGGCTCCTGTTATAGCCAGGCCCTCCCTGAGGTCCCAGTCCGGTGGTAATTAACACCTGCTGGGCCCACAGCCCCTCCCACTGTCCTCATTAACTCCAGGATGCAGAATGCCTGGCGGGAAGGCCAGAGAGCAGGTCGGGGACACACACCTGCTTCAGTCCCCTGCATGCTCTGGGGAGCCTCCCTCTGAGGAGGCTCACGAGGGCCCATCAGGGCTCAGGACGTGAGCTAGCAGGAGAGAACCACCGCAGGCTGGATATTAAAGGGAGAAGGGAAGGGGGACAGGCCTGGCCTGAAATGTCAACTCTACCTTCTTTCAGGCAAGGGTTCAAGAGTAAAATGTTACCTGTTGTGGGTTGAGTTGTGTCCCACCCACAATATGCATTCGAATCTAAACTCTGTGCCTGTGGATTTAATCTTGTTTGGAAATAGTTTTCTTTGCTGCTATGCGAATTAGATCATGCCCAAGTAGTGGGGTGGGGAGTCTAAACACTTCTGAATTCACAAAAGAAAAAGAGCAGATTCCAGCCCCTGAGAGGAGACCAGCATCCTGTGAGGACCTCCACAGGACCCAGGAACACCCAGCACTGTTGATAAGGAAGGTGCAGACACCCCCTGATTTGGACAGGTAGCCTCTAGAAGCAGATAGTCTTTAAAGCCACCAGCGAGCCGGTGGTGTTTGTGTTGCTACAGCAACACGCAGTCATTGAGACATTATGTGAGCGTTGATTTTCTTAACCAGAAAAATAATAGAATGTCTGACTCATGGGCCTACCCTCTGTCGGCACCTGCCTCCCACCCCCTGCACCTGCTTAGACTCAGTCCAGCTGCTCTCCGTCCTGCGTTCATTGATGAGCAGGATCACCCTTTCCTTTCAGTTCCCACATCAGCACCCACTGAGAGCCCTGGAGGTGCCGGCCACACAGGGGAGACTCAGGCAGCGTCCCTGTCCCCGGGGTTGTACACCACTCGACTTGGATGCCCTGGATGTCTTGCTCACCTTCCGTAGACACTCACCCACGTGTCACACTCCCCTGGAGACTCAGCCCCTCCTCTCTGCCAGTGAAACTCTGAGGCATCCCTAGCCCAGAGACTAGGCCTGTGTTGGTACATGGTGTCCACTCGCTGCTTCTGTCTCTCCCTTCTCCCTCTGGCCACTCTGCTCTGCCTTAGCCTCACGAACCCCGAGGGGGTTCTTACTGTCCCTTCTTGCGGGGTCCCCATGAAGACAGGCTGCTCTGTGTCTGTCGCAGGCTCCTCTCCCTGGAGCTGCCTGCGGAGAGCACTCAGACTCTAGAGGAGGGTGAGGCGATAGTCACTTACCTCCCCAAGACACAGCTCCTGCTTAATCAGTTCCTTGAGCTCCTTCCTACTCAGGGTCAGCTTGCTGCCCTCTCTCCCCGAGTATTTGTGAAAAGTGGTGACCATGGTGGTCAGGGCCTTCTCAAGAGGGGTCTCCATCGCAGTTTTCAAGGCTGGAGGGTTGAGGGGATGGGGGGCAATCACATTCTTTAGGCAGCTTGAGCTTGTGCTTACCCCATCACCAGCCCACCGGTGAGGCCCTCCCTTAACCGGCCAGACACTGGAGCCCGTGGTGAGACCGCGGTGCACCAGGCCATAGGCTCAGATGCTGACTACACAAGTCCAAGGCAAACCAGAGCCAGAAGGGCCAGCCCCTCAAGGACACAGTCGGTAGGAGAGGTTGGGCCTGGGGCAAAGGAAGGGCACTGTGACCGCCCTCACAAAGAACCGGTGACAGAGGAAGCCCAAAATGGATCTGCAGAGTCCACACCTGGATTAAACCCCACCAATCAGAGTGGAGACTTGTGAGTAGCCCTGTGACCAGACAGAGAGCGCTGTAAGTCGATTGTGGCAGGTGCACTTTGGTTAAAATTTAGCACCCTCTCATTTTTTGTTGTTGTTATTGGTAATATCTTTTATTTATTTATGATTGGTGAACTAGTATTGCTATTATCTGACATTGTTATTATCTAGAAATCCATATTTTATTTCACTAGGGTTTTTTTAATCATTTTATTGGGGGCCCATACAACTCTTAGCACAATCCATACATACATCAATTGTGTCAAGCACAGTTGTGCATTCGTTGCCCTGCACCATATCATTTGACCTCCCTGATGATCCATTTAAATTTGCTCTAGGTTTTAATGCTGTCTCCTTTCTTTTCTATTGAGGTTTATATCGTTATACTTTGTTATGCTTGGTATGTTTTTGTTCGGTTGTTTGTTTGTTTTTTGATGTGTTTCTGTATATGAAACCCCGGATAGGTAAGTCTGTAGGGACAGTAACTGGATGAAAGGTTCCTGGGGGGGTCGGCAAGGAAGGTTGGGG